AGCCTTCTCGTGACGTAGTCTTATGAAGTGGGAAGGCTCTTTGATGCTCCCCCATTGGGCATACTCTAGTGTTGATAGGTGACGAGGGGGAGTAGTCCTATCTGCTCTCGAAGGAGTGAGGTTCAATTTGGATGCGGAGTCTACTTGTAGAAGGGGGAATCGACCGTCAGCATCACCTGCATCAGCTGCGATGGATAGAGCACACTAGAGCAGGCGGCATCCTGTGGTAGCCTGAATTCCTTATGGTCTTCTCGGCTCAGCGAAAGCCACCGAGGATGTTGAGGGCTAGCTACTCAAGGTGAAGTCAATAGAGATGATGAGCAATAGCCGCGTTCCTTCTTCATCGGAGATGGCCGAATTGGGATAGCGAAGTCCGACAAGATGAATTTTGTAGCAAGGAGTTTGCGATTTGTCTCTCCAAGTTGTGCATCGGAATTCATCATTAAACTGGTCTCCATTCGCATCGGTCTGTCTGGTGTAACTCCTCCATGTAGTGAAGGACGTCGTGTCTTGATGTTCGTGAGATGGTATTGAGTTCATAAATGCCCGTTATTGGTTGTGACTGATGACCATCAGCGAGGGATCAGCCAGTGGGTTTTTCCCGATGCGGTTGCTTACATCTTGTCTCGGCCACTCTGAGTCATAATCTTCCTTACAGCTCTATCATTGCCAATGTCGTTGGTACGGCCCAATGAGCTCCATATAAAGGGTCGTATGTATGAAGTCGCTGGTCGATTGAGAAGGGGGAAATCGGGTGACTTGGTTCTCCAGCGAAGGCTCATGGATGCCTCCACCCCAGCTGCTGTCCTCGAGATAGTCCTCCCCAACGCCACCAAACTCGGCAGCGTCAACTACGCCTGTGCACTGCATCGGTGCGCGGTGTGGTTCCGTAGTGGTAAGCGGAGGCCTTCGGGTCTCTCACAGGTGCCTCGGCTGGCCCTTCAGACAGTACGTGATTGGCGAGCTCGAGAGGCTGCTACTATCACTTGGGCTTTGGCTGTGACTCGGGAGCTTGACCACATCTTGGAGTTCGCTAGGTTGTCCATGTCGTGTGATGAGGCCTCTGGAGGTGACCTTGCCAACGTCGTTCACAGTCTGACCATATCCGGCCTCAACCCTAGGCAATGCACGGCGACTCTTGCTGTTGTTGCAAAGAGGGTTACTGCTATGGACTTATCCCACTCTGGTGTCATCGAACCCAAACAATTGGCCGCAGTTTTCTGGGGTTTTGTGAAGCTTGAGTTCACTGATGACGACGTGATGACTTACCTCGTCAGATCAGCAACGGCAAGAATGGATGAGTTCAACTCCCAGGACCTCAGTATGGTCTCCTGGGCTCTCGCCAAGTCCCTGCCTCTC